TACTACAGTCTGGCTACACTTCTCCAGTCTGAATGACATCCCAATGTCCTCACTGTAGATCTGTGTCAGGTGGATCAGCGAGCCAAGAGTCTCATTCACTCTTAGCATACAGCTTGATGTCATCCATGTAGAGGAGGTGACTGATGGTAGTTCTACTCTTGAACTTGTATCCATATGCAATGGGTGGATAACGTAGTGGTTACAGAGCCACCCTTTGACATGAGAGCCTAGGGTTCAAATCCCAGTTGGTATTTACCTTATCAGTAGGGGTCCTTGGGCAAAGACCCCCTAACACTTCAATTGCCTACCTGAAATATGAGAGTGACATAAATTAAGAGAGTCATGCTGGCTCAGATGTTGCTCGGATTAACAAGGTCCAGGCCAGATGACCTCTCTCTTTTTCTTATTACAGACTGTCACTGAGAAGCACAAGCTCAATGTACCTGAGACTATGACTGAAATTTTGGATGTTTCTGATGAGGAAGGTAAGTTCACTCTGGAGCACTTGGTTCATTAATGTATGCATTTATAAAACATATTTATCGCATTTATCAAGGATAATTGGTGAAGCTGTAGAAAAGAAAAGTTAAAATACCTACATTTTGCTGAAAATAGGAATAGAAACTGAAAATGTACCAAACTAATTAAAATACATGTTCAGCTAAAGAACTGTTTCTGATAAAGTAGAAAGTAATGTGATTTGGGTAGGCTAGGCCGTAGTAGCAGCACCCATAGTGACCATCGTTGGCTTTAAAATGGCAAGCACAACTGGGCAAGCAAAGCCCCACCATTTCTTATGTGCTTGCTGGTTGTGTTTGCCATTTTGAAGCCAATTACCATTGTTTCAGATATCTCTGGGCTATGGCATGCAAGAATGGGAAATGAGGACAATACTGATTCAGATGGACTAACAAACTACTTCCTATGTTAGAATTTCTTTTAAAATCAATTATGGGGAAATCAGAGTTATCCCAATGCCATTTTCTTTAATGTAAACTACCTAGCATGTACACATACACATAATGAAAACTATCTCCAAGCATGCACACATACACACATTGTTGTTCCTGAATATGTTCTCTAAATGGACCAAATAGCTTATGTATGGCATGATTTTCAAATAAAACATATTACAGGTGGCCCTTGTTTAGCGACTGTCTCAGACAGTGACTGTTCACAATTACGATGGTGATGAAAAAGTAACTTTGTGACCAATGCCCGCATTTACGACCTTCACAGCATTTCTTTCTCAGTTACGTGTTCGGTGTTACAGTCAGTCAGTATGGCATTGTGTTGTCCTGTGCCTAACCTGTTTTCACCCCCCAGAACAGAGAGATTGCCTAAACAAGCTATCTCTTCCTGAGCTGCTTTTCTCCGTAGTGCAGTGCAGTGCAGCGCATCCCTAAAAAGTGCTAACTGCAAGTTAACAAGCTCAGCTTTCTGACTTTAATTAGCTGATTAGAACCCTGGGGCTGGTAGCTGCTGCCTGAAACTGACAAGACCCTAATTGGTTTCACACTGAAGGCTTTTGATTGCTGAAGTAAAATCATAAGCACAGTCATGGTCATTGGATTTTCACTTAGCAATCGCTTCACTTAACGATCATGCTGCTGGAACCAATTGCGGTCACTAAACAAGGACTACCTGTAATGTAACTTCAGTATAATTGATCCTTATATGTTCCTTTGTAAACAATTTCCCCCTGAAATTAATGTATGTATTATGCAGCTTTAAAACATTCTGATTATGACCATTCCACTGACGAGGAAGCCTTTAGTGATGCAGGTACTGTGGAAAGAACTCTTGGGGAGCAAAGAAAATGTTTTTTATCTTGCTTAAATGATTTCTTTGTTAAAAAAATAATGCATACTGAGTGCCTAACACTGATCAGACACTAAATTTGATTGTGAATTCGTGCATGTTTACAGTTTGTCCCACCCTCTATTCTCCAAATGGAGAAATATGGCTTAAAAAATCACTACTAATATGAATCTGAGTTATAGCCTGGGGAATGTCCCTAATTTCCAATGTTAATTAAAAGTGTAATAATCCTGTATTTTCATGTCATTAATTTAAAACAAAAAGACACACCATAACATGTTATTTCCTTACGTATCAGTATTTTCTAAGCAGTTCAGCATTATTAATTTCATTAATATAGAAGGACGAAGTTATCAGAACAAGACTGTCACTAAGAAGAAAGGTGACTTAATAGATAATGTCACATTTGAAGTAGGAACCTTACAAGTCACCATCTTAGTAGTTATCCTTTACATTGTTCTGTGTAATACATAGCATATATACTAATCTACGATATGTAAAACACAACTTTGGATATATAACATATTGTGCTATAGCATCCTCATTCGTAGTTAATGGTATTAAAATTGGGCTATGTAATATAATTGTATCAACATATTTCAGTTACTTGGTGGATTTAATGATTGAACTTATGTTCATACAAAGCAAAAATATTTACCTTTTTATTTGTTATAAACACATTATGCTTCTTAAACCCTATTAAGGCATCATTATCAATACAGAATGCTGCCACAAGTAAGGAAGAGAGAGTAGTATACGTCAGCAGTATCCACAAGTGTCTTTGGCTACACACTGTTGATCAAGGACATCTGCAGTGAGTTCCTATTCATGTTGGGTTCAACATGTGTAGAAACTATGATTGAGAATCCTGCTTTATCAGTGCCTAATCATGCAACGTGTTCCAATTGCATTGAGATGAATAGAAGTCAAAGACTTCATCATGCAACATGGGGAAGTTTGCAGCGCTATGGTGGAACTATGCACACCAACACATGTGTTAGGGTATTCAAGTGAACCAACTATTTTATAAAATAAAATGATAGGCTCTTATGATCTTTACTGATAATCTTTGGGGGGTTGCTCACTAGTCATTATATATCTGAATTGATAATAAAAAGAAGTTGGCTACAATTCTTTTAAAGGTAGAAGTATTATACATTTTTAAAGAACCATAATTTCAAAAAGAAAAGAAAAGTTATAGTCCCTTTAGTCCTTGAATTCCTGTGTTTTCATTAGAAACATTGTACCTGGTGCTTGGTGATGGACTACAGGTAATCCTCACTTAGCGACTGCCTCTTTAGGGACCATTTGCAGTTAACAACAGTGATGAAAAATTAACTTTGTGATCAATCCTCATATTTACGACCTCCGCAGGTTTGTAAAGCAAAGGAAAGCTGATGTAAGATCATAAGCATAGTCACAGTTTCACTTAGCGACTGCTTTGCTTAACGACTGAGTTGCTGGTCCCAATTGTGCTTGCTAAATGAGGACTACCTGTAGATGCTTAGGTGCATAATCTATGATTTGAAAAACCAAAATAAATATTATCAAAGTTAAATTATAATTGTTTCACTGTATTGTTTCTGTCGCTGCAAGTTAGCAACTTAGACAAAGATGGCCAAATTTGCAAGTTCTGTCTTGCAATTTTCTGTGGATGCCCCAATTCTCTCTCCTCATTGCTGTTGCTGTCGTTATCTATTTCCATTTCTTCTGCCTCTAAAATGTGGCTTCTAGCAGAGTTATGCAGAACATAAGAGGTTAACAGCTTGTATAGTAGTTGCGGTGAGGCAACCATATAACTGATAATGAAGTGTTCTTCAAAAGGCTGGCACAGCAGCTGCTCAGATCTGATACTTTCACTGTTACCAGGTCCTCTGAGAGGTGTCTATGATTGACCGTAGAATCGCTCAGAGTGGCTGTATGCGGTCTCAAGGCTTGAGCTATCCTTTGAACAACTAGTTTTAAACCTCAGCAGAAATAGCTGTGGAAGGAAGCATGAAGGGATGAAGAGAAGACTGCTGTTCCTGTGCAGCTATTAATAGGAAACAATAAACTGGCTGTATATATGTGAGAAGGTCTCTTCCACTCTTCTAACGATGATGATTTGTAAGGCTAATGGAGTGTAGGTGTTTTCATGAACTCTCTCCATGCCTCCTACCCACCATTGAGCACAGCATGCAGACCTCAGGTCTAAGAAATAAAGCTTCTCAAGGAAGAGGGAGCAGTAAAAATAAGCCTCAAGATGGCAGCTGTGAAAGCAAAGCATCACCCTCTTTTTATGTGTATCACATAGCTCACGCATGTAAAAAAGAGGTAGGGTTTTGATCGTATGATCACATCCACCCTCTTTTTTGATCAAGTGTGCTGATGCCTCTGCTGAAAATATTGCCCACAACTGTGCCAGACATCTAAAAAGAAAGAAAGGGAGGAATGTCATGCAGTATTAGGATTGTATAGCTCCTGGAGACTCTTAATTTGATAGATCTGGCATTAAAAGCAGGTAACTATTGACACTATTGACATTTTCAGTAAAATGGTTTTCTAAAAATTCTAGAGTCATCACATGCAAAATATTAAAACTTGCCATGCATTTATTTGATGTAGATAATTCCTATATTTTTCCCTTTTCAAAAGATCCACAGAGACAGTTGTGAACTGTCACCTTTGGCAGCCTCATTTCTCATCATGAAGCAGAAGCAGATGTTCTTGTCTTTAATTTCCTAGTTTCCCTATGTGCTTCTCGGAGTTATGTGTGGCTGACATAATATGATGATCATCTGTAATTACTTAACTCCTAATTCTTTGGGCCTTTAGCCAGACAACATGGCTCTTGAAAGCAGCAGGGTAATATTTTTCAAAACTCTGAACTGAATGGTAGCTATGGTTACAAAATTCACATGAAGAATAACATGGTAAAATTCTGAATTGCTTTAACTTCCATTCTCCATGAGAGCATTGCTTGAGACAGGAGGTAGCAAGAGCTTGGATTCCTTTTAAAGAAAACAAGAGACCCCCAATCCAGAACTACTGATTTCTGTAATGTTTTCAATATAAATTTCTCCTCACTGTCTTGAAGATAATGCCCTATTTAGCTGCTAATTATTACCATTTGGCTGATAGGCAAGAAGATAGTAGTTATCACATAGTCAGTTCCAATGGCTGCATATGCTACTCAAAAATGTAAGGAAAAGGGCCCTTTGTGCTTATCATATGGGCAGGCATCTTATCTTTGAAAATGTTTGTACCGTATAGATGAATGTCAAAGGGATAGTCTAAGCCACCTGTGCAACCGTAGAGTGGACTTAACTGATCTCACCATCTACTTCTGTATTTACATAAGCAAATATTTATTATTTATAGAGGGCTTCCAACTATGAGAGAAGAAGGGTCTGTGCCTTTGTTTATCAGCAAGCATTCTCAGGGTTTAATGTATTTAAGGTTAATTATATAGACTTAATCACTAGATAAAGAACATGAAGTTGTTTTCTTATATAGTTCTTGTATTTATTCTTACTTTTATCATTTGTTTTAAAAGTAATCTGAAATTTTGTTTACTTATTAATTTCCCTGCTTTAGTACCTTAGGACTTTTTTGCACTGCAACCTTCAGCTGCTTGTCCTCACTGAATATTGTATACCAGCAAAAAACAAAGGGAGCTTTAGAAATCTTTTTCCAGATTTCAACTCCTTCCTCTCCTGCCTTTTGAGGATTGCTGAAAAAAAAACAGCAAGTTTTCCTATCCCTTGGGCTAGAAGGGGAAACCTGGCAGAATTCTTACAGGTTTCACCAGTGAAATTGAAAAACCAAAGAAAGCAGCAGCATTTCACCACTCCACTGCTGAACTTGTAAAACAAAGGTTCAGCCTTTCATGCCAGGCAGCCCAGCATAAAATGGCCATCAAAAACAGAGAGAAGGACTGCCAGAGCACACACTGATCGATACAGATGGAAGCATCTGTGTCAGAATAGAAAGAGTCTCAACAGGCAAACTGGACTGCCTTGCTTGTGGCAGCCACAATTTGATATGGAGGCAGAAAACTCATGTGGAAATCATCTTCCCAGTGAGTAGGTGACACAGCTGTGTGCTAGGGCAAGCAGAAAATGCAGAATAGCCATCAGTGAATATATGTTTACTTAGATGGAAACCACTTACATTAATGGAAAGGCTGTTTCTGGCTTAGTGGAAGATTATTGCATGAGAAAAGTAATCCAAGTAACAGACATCATCCTTTTGCTTAAATTCTTAGTTAAGATCATTTCATGTTCCATTAGCATTTATATGCAGTACCTTCCTTATTCATCATCAGTTGGTTCCTAAATATGTCATACATAATCTTACTAAAATCAGTAGGATTCATGAATTGTCAGCGAGCCCATTCTTAATTCCCCAGAAAATACATGTAGTATATATCTGTTGTACTGCTAGGAAATGTGAAAATATTTCACAGAACTCAGGCTATTTCTAATGGGAGAGGCCATAGATCAGTTATAGACATGATGTTCTGTATGATTGCAGGTTCAGTCCCTGGCATTTGAATTTAAAAGGATTAGCTAGCAAGCCATGGGAAAGACTACTGCCTGTGATCTTTGGAGAGCCACTATTAAAGCAGATAATACAAAGCTGATTATGTATTTATTATTGTGGTATTTATTATGTTGTTTTTTAGCTGTTAGCTACCCAGAGTTATCACAATGAGATGGGTAGCCATATAAATTGAAATCAATCTATCAATAAACAAACAAACACTGGGCTATATAGACCCATATATAGCCTGAACAGGTTTTTCTTAGAATCAGTCTAAATTCTTTTTGCCTAGAATGTTCACTTCTGTTTATTCCACATTCCTAATTATTTTTGAAACCCTTATTCCTGTCCTTCAAGTCCTTATGTTCTACTATCTGATATAAAAATGAGATAAGACAAACATTGATTTAATTAATCATTAATGTCTTCTTGGTGCAAATCTCTGTCTCGGCAAGCTAAGTTGGCACATTCTCTGAAAATCTTTTTTTACAAAGACATTTGTTGTACAAGAAATGTAACCATTGTTTTATTAATTACTATCTCATTTAATTACTTATGTCTTTTTTATACTTATTTAATCAATTAATGATATGACAGTAACGATTGAAATATGGCAAATAGCATTATAGAGAAACAACATCCCTTTTCTTATGTGGAAACATATTCAAAGTTTCTGCCAGAGTCCAGCTGAGTTTGAAATGAACTAAAACCCATGAAGTTAGTCCTGCTAATACTATTTACTATGGCAAAAGACAAAGGAATGATTGTATGTGATTTTTTAAAAAGCTTATATTAATTTCATCCTGTGTAACTGATCAGTGTTTCCTTAAAATGTATTAACTCTTTGTGCTTGCTGTGCTTCAAGAGTGGCAGTAACCATATCTGTTTTATATGTGTTTCATTCAAGTGCTGAAACAATTCTATTGCTGATTGACTTTGGGAATTTGTGTATTGGCTGAAGGTGATGACACAATGACAGGAGATGGGGGAGAATATCTTAGACCTGAAGATCTGAAGGAACTAGGTGATGATTCCTTACCTAGCAGCCAGTTCTTAGATGGCATGAACTACCTGAGGTACAGCCTGGAAGGAGGCCGCTCTGACAGGTACCCTTCACGAACAATGCAAGAATTTTCCTACTGTGATTATCTGTACCCTTTTTTGAGCAGCTACTCAAAATGTAGATGAATATTAGGGCTGAAATAGACCTGCTTTGTCTATTTATTTATGTCCAAAAATATTCAGGAGATATTAAAACTGAACATTCTTTATTAAGGAGAAAAATAAACTCTACTGGAAAAGATATTATCAATAACTATTTTAAAAGTGTATTTGCTCTTTTATAAGTTTCTGGGAGCTCTGCCTTTTAAATATTGACTTATAAAAGAAGAACATTTTTCACCATAGAACAAAAGAACTATCTAAGGAGTACAATATATAAAGCAGTGCTTGCATTGTAAATTATGAAAATGTCTTTGTCTTTTGCATTAGAAACTCATAGATAAATGTAGATCTTTTGAAACAAACCAGTACAGGGTTTTTAATTTCAGAACTGTGCAATCACACAGTATGAAAAACAGAGTATTTTCTTCTTTATGTGACCGTAGATTTCTTAGTTTAGGGACTTAACATGGATTATCAAAAATATTCAGAGTAGAGGATTTTAAAATAAAATGTCACCCCTTATTATTAAAAATGAAAGTACAACACCACTGATTTCATTGTATAAGTAAAAAGAGACTTATACATGAAGATCTGATTGTGTACTCAAAAAAGCGTTTATAATAATTTACATGTTTAGTACTCTTGTTCTAATGTTCTATTGGATAAAAAATATGTCTATCTAATATTGTAAAAAGCAGATGAGAATAACATGAATAATAAAAGTCCATCCTATCAACCTTCCTTCACCTCAAGGAACAAAATTACGTCAAAATAAAGCATCCCAGAAGGCTTTTAAAAGAAGCTCAGGGTTGGGGAAAATAGAATAGAATAGAATAGAATAGAATAGAATAGAATAGAATAGAATAGAATAGAATAGAATAGAATAGAATAGAATAGAATAGAATAGAATAGAATAGAATAGAAATCATTATTTAGGGGAACTATATCAAATACTTTTTAGGCATATTTGTTAGAATCAGCTTCCCAGTGAAACACAGTGATTGTGTACGCATAGGTATGTGGTGATAGCCAAGACCAGTATACAAAACAACCTTGTGAGATTTACAAAAGATGCAGCTGCTTTAATCATTGTAAATGTGTTTATGCTGATGCATATTGTGAAGTGTCTCCTTCAAATATTTTGTACAGCCCAATTATATAAGCACTTCCACAAGCTCCTATATACAATGAATATGTAAGTGGCAAGACAGTCCACGTGCTCCAGATATGCACTGCACCTTTCAGAATTTCCAGCCAAGGTTGGCCACCCACATTTTCATATTAATGTATGAAGCCTCTATAAATGAGAAATGGATCATTATTACAGGAAACAAAGTTTGTGCTGTAAATGAATATGCCACTTGGTTTCTGCTATGGGACATTTCATACCTTCCATCCACTGACACAACCACATTTCTAGAACAGTATCATTTTAATTCATTAGAATCTCAGGGGATTTTTTTTTAAGTGTTCCATGTTTATTATTTCTGTTTCCTTCCTTTTTATGCTTTCAATAGCACTATGCCCAGGTAGGTATTATGAGGCCTGAAAACAATGCTTTCTGTTCTCCCTTATGGCATCTATCATTTTCTCTCCGATTCCATTTTGCAAGCTTGCCAAAGAAAAGTTTTAGGTTTTAGAGTTTGTGAAGATTACAGGGCAACTGAAATCTGTTCTGACTGCAGTTAGTAATTATCTCAACCAAAGCTTTATCCCACTCCATAATGACATCTAGAAAGGTGCTAATTAAAAATCAGCTTTAGAAAATGCCACAATGTGAATGCTTATCACTAATAGCTAGCTTACTTCTTATGGAGGGAAGAATTATGGTACTGTACTATGACACTGCTCTTGCTGCCCATTTTCTGTTCTGATATAGTTGTCACAATAGAAAGACAGAAAGAACTATTGTCACCTTTCTTAATGAAATGTATCAGAAATAGATAAGAAAATAGTAAGTTGAAGAGAAAGCATGTTTGCTCTGTCTATGGTGGATTAGGAGGGAGTTGTTTGGGAAAGCATCAATGACTGCAGAAAAGAAACATGTCCTTGTGTCAGTGCAGGAGTCGATTATGTGCTTCTTTTGTGCTGCCTCAGAGCTGGAAAATTCATGGGTTGCAGAGAAGAAAGATATTGATAAAGTAATGGTGTGATTTGAAGCAGACGAATAAAATAGTAGAATGAACAGAGGGTTTTTTTGTCAGATCAAGTGTACCTCAAGCATGACAATAGTGCATTATTAATTTTGTGTTATGTAGATATCTAAAGAAGAAGGTACTCTTCTTTTTTTCTCCAAATTCATTACAAATTTCTACCATCTCTGTACAACCACTACTGGCTAAGTCCCTATTCTGTACTAAGGGCCCTGTATGTACATCTCCCATAGTCTAATATGTACTAAACAAATATTATGAAGTAGTCTAGAAGTAGTCAAATGCTTTCCTTAAAAACAGATAATTTAGTTTTATAAAGTCCTTATGTGTGAATGCCTGTTACATTACTTATTGGAATACTTCAGTAACAGAGCTGTAATGGATTTTGGGTATCAAATCTTTTGTCAGCCTTTTGTGTCACTGCTTTTAGTGGTCAACGATGTATAAAGAATGGGCTGGTTACTTAAAATTTGGTAATTTAAAGAGTAAAACTGAATGCTATAACAGGAAATGTAACTATCTACCAAGGTTTCATAGATTTAGGAACAATGATCTGCTATGGTTAATATCTTTCATTTTAAGAAATAGCAGAGAGTCATGGGGACTCTTTAACTGGATCAGGATCATAACATGGGACAGAAAGTTTAATCCTTTGTTCCCACCATTTCTGATGGAATTAGCCACTCTGACATAACTAACATAAGCCGCACTAGTGCTCCTGTTTAATATCCTCTTGTTACAAAATAATATTTCAGTGAAAAAAAAAAGATGAATACAAAAGAACAATTACACCAGTTTGTATCAGGCTTTAGTCAGGCTGATATTAAGCTTGCCATTCTAAACTTATTTAACTGGTTTTATTTACATAAGGGAAAATGTGATTTATGTTAGCAGCAGTTTTCCCATATCTTGTCCAAGTATACTGGAAAGAGAGATGAGGGAAGGAAAGAAGAAAACTTGGTTCCATGAACATGATTTTGTGTTTTGTTGTCTGAAATCAATCCACTGATTAAATTCAGTTGTGTCTGGTTTCATTCAATTGAAATTAGAAGAAAGTTTATCCATGTTATTGGCTGCAGACTTGGCCACTAGATGCAATATAGAAAGATTAAAAAAAGAAGCATTATATGCATTTTCTACCAGTTATGCAATATTTTGCATTATTTATAGCCCTGAAGAATCTGTAGATAGTTCATGATGAAGTGGTAAATTGTGTTGCTTAGATAATAATTTAATGCTGATCAGCATTTGAAGCCTTAAGATTACAATGATTCTGGGCAATTAGAAAGATGTGAATTATCATCTGGTAATTACTCCAGTGACAGAAGCTTCAAAATCAGTATTTGAAATATATATTCTATAAATATATAGAAATCACAGAAGGCCTAATGTATTTGTATTTTGGTTTTCAAAGTTACAAAATTTAGGCCAGTTACTGTAGGCTCATAGTTAGGCTTCTGGTTGCGTGTAAGTCGCTTTTTTTTTGCTTTGCATCTGTCATTGCTTCAGCAAATGGTCTTCTATAGTTTTGTGTCTGTATGTGAGACAGAAATAATGGTTGTCATTGCTTACTGTACTTGTAAATGCTGTTGAAGAATCTTGCACAACAATAATAGCATTGGCTGGCCACTTTCTATGTACCTTCCAGGGGACTCTTTCTGTTTTTCTTCTAGAAATCATGTTTTGAAGGACAAATAATGGATTTTTCTATAAAAAAAAGAAAGAATATGTAGGAATGATTAATCACACAACATCCATGATATATTTGTTAGTAGAAAATTGAATATATTGTGATTCTGTTTATGTGTGTTGGAACAGAAAAGCCAGAGCATGACTTAACTCCAAGGAATAATGGAGGGTATATTTAAATAATCTCCCCTGGAAGTTACACTATTTGCTAATTGCAAGCTTTTTTCACTCCTTCGCTTTGCCCATAATCCTACCTTCACAACACCATCACAACTGCTGAAAATGTTGCCCAAATACCAATCTACCAGCCTGCGATCCTTCAGTTCAGACAGGTCCCGTACACTGAGCCATACCTCGTACTTGAGGGACAGCACTATGATTGATGACACCGTCATTATCCCAAGCCACCAGGTAAGATGTCTCAGGTTATTTTGCAGATCTATATATAGCTTTATAACAATCCTTGTTCTGCACAAAGGGATTTGAAAAGGAGAATTAGAATATGATTGGATAATAGATAATAGAACACTAGAATACTAAAAACAAAAGTGTTGGTACTGTGTAGAATTTACATTAAAACTTGATAGTTTTAAAAATTTGCTATCAAAAGAGTCTAACAGTATTTCTGAAGGTTTAAGGCTTCAATCTTGTATACATACATATATCTAGGAGTAAGCTGCATTTGACTCATTCTGAGTAGTCATGAATGGGACTGTACTGCAACCCTAAGGCTATTATAATCGGTCATTAATATAATTAAAATGTTATTATTTTTTTTCTAGTATTCTATCTCATGGGTTTTAATAATCTAAAGTAATCTATACTTTATCCAAATGTAGAAAATATTTTAATGGATTGATTAGAGACAATTGCAAAGAAAAAAGGAAACATATTTCTCTGCTTTTCCAGATATCTGCATTAGCTAAAGAAGGTGAGAGAAATTCATACCGCTTAAGTTGGAGTCCTGATAACCTGGACAACATCACTCTTTCCGCTAGCCCTATTCATTCTGGGTTAGTAACCTGTACTAATATTTTCTTTGGATGTACCTTCTACTAATTTATTTTCTTAATGCAAAATAATCTTAATAAGGGTATTCAACCATACTTTGAATTTCAACCATGTTTGTTATGACATCTTCCTTAAAAATGCTGAAAACCCTTTTTTGATTACCCTAATGGCTTTATGGTTATAAGACATTATTTGTTATGGATCATCACAGTTAAACCTGTTTGAAATTGATTTAAATTGATAATGTGATAATGTGAACATACTTTAAGGCAGACAACAAACTCCTAAATATTCTTATGAAATGCTGAAATTACTTGGAAGGTCATGGCTCACAATTATATTATACTAGATAATGAAAATATTTGTACTTAAAGTGTCAATAGATTTGGAATGGTACAGTTTTATGCTAGCTAATAAGCGGTGTCCAGTTTTCTGACATTTTTGCTTAATGGCTGTGGCATTTATTATTCCACCAGGTTTGATCAGATCAGTTTTTAGATTTAAGTTTCCACAGAGAGAGAACCATGAGACATTTTGTTAAGACATCTTCATGCATAGAAGCTGTCTGTGAACTAGACTCAGTGGACTTGTGTGGCACAGGTTATGTCCCCTGAATTTCTATATAGAGGGATCCTATATATGATAAGCTTTTCAAACATAGGCTTTTATTTGACAGGAAAGTCCTACCAACTAACCTCATGTGTAGGGCCTCCCATTATGGAGAGTACCAATATGTAGACAAATACAAATGTCATGATAAGTTGAAGGGTTAGTGAAGGCATGGTGAATAGAAGCAGAAAGGATATGGTTTAGAAAAAATATGGTCCTATTTCAGCAGCTGTTAAAAATTCTTGAAATGAAGACATCTTTTTTTCACTTCAGTAGAGAAAGCAACTTCATAACCTTTATCTGTGTGGATGTGAAACTACTCTTTAATGAAGTGATAATGAAACCCATTCTTATTGGGTTTCAGTATAAATATCACAGTGCCAACTTTTGGAATGATATTTAAACACAGAAAACTTTAAAAAGATGCTTCATGTAAATATTTTAAGCTGAAGTTTTTTAAAAATATAGATTTGAAAAAAAAACAGAAAACATTTTCATGAATTATGTGTGATAGAACTTTTAATTTAATGAGAATTTTTCACCAAACTGAAATAATTGAGGGGGGGATGTGTGGGGCAAATATCATTACTTACAAACTTGTAAGTAATCTTCAGATGCACCTAAATATTGAAACTATTTGAAAAGATAAAATTTCATTTATGTTGTTTAGATTACCGAATCCAGGTTGATCTCTTGCACATTTCCTTTTTAACAGCCTTGCACCTTTAATCAGTTTAGACAAATGCCTGGTCTGAAATGACTGGCAGCAAAGTGCAGCAAAAGCTTTTACTGCATTACTGACATATACTGCATGTGAACTGTTTCATGCTGACAGCTATAAGTTTTCTCTTAAGATAGCATGACAGTAGCCAGCCTTTTTACTAGCAAGCCTTTTCTACGCATAGCTTAGAGTTAACTCACTGGAAAAGATAATGTATGCAATACATCTTTGGGAGGGATATCTGTATGTTATTTGTATGGAATATGAATTCAATGTATGCAATTTATTTATTTATTCAATTAAAAATGCAATGCTGGCTTAAGTTAGTTACCTCTATGGGAGAAGAACATTTTCCAAGTATTTGAGCCCCATTCATATATTATCCTTTATATGTAGAACAAAATACTGGATCAAAGAGAAGATCTTATGTTCAGAAATATTAATATCATGATTAAGGGAATATATATATAATTAATACATTAAAAACAGAGTGGGATTGCTTCTATAGTATTGTCTTCCACTTTGTGTAATTGTAGTCTACACAGTTTATAACAAGCTGTTTGTACATAGGGTTATCCATGCAATCTGTACATACGTGACTTGCATATGGAAATATATGCACAGTCTCTATGTTGCAGTTTAAGCTGCTGGTCTGTTCTGTCTTTCTGTCCAGAGGATTCTGGACTGAGTGATCCCATTCAATTATGTAGCAACAGAGAGCACATATACATACTGATTTATAATAATTACTATAAAAGTAAACTTCAGTGTGTATTTTTTCTGAATATCTTTAGTTGTAGAAAAACTAGTGCAGTAATGATTTCCTTAGATAATTTTCAAATTTTGTGTCAGTTGATATTTTTTTTAAGTGGGGGGTATATGAAGGGAACCAGTACTTAAAACTGACAAATAATTAGAGTTGTTATTCTTAGCTGCCTGTCTTCCAAAAAGGAGATTGGATCATTGCTAACAAGGTAAATGATATTTCTTGCTTTTACCTAATATGGTATCTTCACAAAGATTAATAGAAAGAGGACCTAGCAGGTAGAAAACAAGCTTTATAAAAATATTTTAAAAATTTACAAACTTGTAATATATTTATAAAGAAAAAGTTTCTGAAACTCTTTTTTAAAGTTAGAGTCAAGACTTGTCAGATAAGTACACAAAATTTACATGACATATTTGTTAATTTTAGATCAGTACAATGGAAGAAAGAAATGAAAATTTTGTTCCTCTTTTCTATGAACAGGAAAGTCGTATGTTGCAATAAACCTAGAATGGAAAAGGTTAGGGAAATAGTGGTAGATAGCACTGAGCTAAAAATTAAGGAGAAAAGACACTGGAAAAAAGAACTCATAAAACATTGCCCAAATATAAACTTACGATTTGAAAAAAATAAATACAAAATATTTTCAGAGAAGTAAATCTGGAGTACAACATGAAAAGGAACTGCTATGTGCAGTTAAATAATACTAATGAGCATATTTTTCAGAAAATGAATTTTTAAAAAGGGATATAAGATTGGAGGTAATTTTTTTTCTCCACTATAACTAAACCCCACTGTCACAGGTGAGGAAATTGCAAGCAGATATGGTTGCCTAAAGGTAACCTTCATTGAACTCAGTTGAACTCTGAATTTTTAGCAGTCACACATAGGATTGTGCTATAAGTTATTAATTGTGCAGTTGGTGTTAAGATCTTGGCAATTTGCTACTGCAGTTGTGCTTTGTTTTTTCCAATTTAATTGGTTCTTTAAAAATGCAGCACATAATTTAGCAAGATACCTCATGATTAACTAAAGCGTTACTGTCTTATCATATGGAAGCAAATGAATATTGTTCAGCTATATAATGGTGATGGTTAGAAAAGCTCTTTCACTATATATATGCCAATAAAATGGACTGAAACATGTCCACAATAAATATGGCTAGCAAGTGGATTCTAGACTGTGGATTACCTAGAACATTCATACAAAAAAATGCTTTTAGATGATTTTAGGGGCAAGAGTAATACTCCCATTCAAAAGAGGTTACAAAGGAATGTTTCATTCATCTTTGCTACTGCATATGCTCTTCATAATTAATGTTTTTCATCATTCCATTTGTAGTTAGACGTCTTTTCTGACTGGTTTTATTTTATTTGTTCATTCATTCTTTTTTGTTTTGTTTTGCTAAATTATCTCTTCTGTTGCAGCCACTCCTCTCCATGTTTTGACCATGAAAACAGCAGGTGAACTTATATATAATTTCATTTTAATGCTAACTTTCTTTTCCCTTCTTCTTTCTACCATCCTTTTTATTTACTCACTTTAAGATACTCTGTTTCCTTGATGACATTCATTATTTAGTGTAGGAGACTGATCCTGTCCATATTTACTATTTGATCTAAGATTTTCTTTCATAGAATAGCAATAAAATCACTATCCACTAATGTTCCTGTAGGAAGCCTCCAAAAGGACCAAAATGTAATTTTTTTAGTTTTTATGTCTGTACTGCAAAAGAATTGTGGCTACTGGAATTTGAATATTTAAAGTAATATACCTTGTTTTTAAAGTAGATTTGAAACATTTCTGAAGGAAGAAAATTAGGTCTTCAGTTAAATATTCAGTCAACAAAAAGAAGTGATTATCAAGTGTGTACATTGCATACCATTAACCCCAGTTTAGCTTTTATTCAATAAGCTCTAACATGCCCACATCCAATAAGAGTCTAGTGAAAACTGTAAAAATCTGATTTATGTAAAAATATGACTATACATAGACTATATATTGATAAGCTAGAAATCCAGCCTTACTTTTTTAACGATCAATTTGGATTATATTCAATTGTGTGGTTTTTTTTAAAAAAACAGCTCTCATTAAGTTTTAAATAGGCATTTTAGTGGTCTTTTCATTTTGCTGTGTCTTTAAAATGCAGAATATCTAGTTTGGCCCTATTATTTTTGACATGCTTGAGACATGCTGAAGCAAATTACTCAAACTGTTTAGTATTTCACCCTCTTGACTAACTGGTTGCTGCCATTTCCTTTTTTCCCTGCCTGACATGGTCAATACAATACAATTCTGGTGTGGGGGTATTGTGGAAATACTCCAATAAGGATTGTTCTTTCCATCTTTATGGTGACAAGCATGTCTACCTGTCTGACTAACTATTATATCTGAACTCATTATGCATAGAGTGTTTTATTCCACCCCCCCTCGGTTAAAAAGTATGCATCCACAGTTAATTGGTTATGGTTACTGTTGCATGAAAATCATATTTAGTCCTATGAAGCACCTAGTTTATATTTATGAATATAAATCTTTCCCATATGTCACATCCTTCTCAACTATCTTCTGTGAGCTCAACTGTGCAGACTTTTATTCTTTCTTTTGATAGTCCTCCCAGAAAGCTGTTTTGTGGGAGATGTATTAATTTAAATGTAAATGTTTAAATGTATAGGCACTTTAGTGTATATAATGAGATATATTATACAATTGTAAAAGACAGAAAAGCACATTTTTCAGATTTTAAATTGAAATATCCTGGAACAATCTCAAATCATTGGTAGAATTTTAGAACATTCGTTATCTTCTCTGCTTCATCCAAAAGTGTGACATTGATGAAAAGTACGTGGTTTTATTAGAATTATTCTGCATTGAATAGGCTCATCATTTGCTTCCATTAACAGGAGCAATTTAAATGAATTGAGAAGACAGATGAAAAAGTGCATAACCCAGGATATTAGGTTTCCTTGGCTCTTATATCTAGACTATGAGCCTGAAATTGTGAAATTTAGGAATTTCTCTGGATCTAAGAATATAGTTTTTAAGGGTGTGTGAATGCTGACTACAAAAATGGGAGAAAAGGTTATGTTTTGCCTTAGATTCTGAAGCCTCCTGCTGATTTACTGTTTTAGGATTTGAATAATATAGTTGTACACCATGAAAAAGGCCTTTTTGTCTCAGGGCAAAGAAAATTTTCTGCTCAAAACCAACACACACATACACACAGTCCCCTTCCAAGAGCTATTGAATTAGCCTATTCATGGACAATCTTTTCCAGAAACTGAATATTATTATGAAATACTCTGCAATGACATGTAAATAAGCTGGATCTTGAAATGCACCAAAACTCCTGTGAGTTTTAGTGATTTCATACCAGATTTGGTGTTTTCAAGCAGAATCTTGGGAGATTTTGAGATCTAACAAAATTTTGGAATCTTTGAACATTATTTTATTTTGGGGGGAAACAGTGAAGTATAAAAGCTGGGGAAAGATACTTGGGACAAGTGCAACGTTTACTTTCATCCTGTAATTGTCACATAATATTTGTTAGGATTCTTCAGAAATGTTTAAGAATCACTAAATCAAGGATTTGACTGTATGCAATTTTGTTACTTCATGAGGCCTAGGACATATAATTACATAACTTTGTTAGAAAAAGATAACTGATAGAAATTGGGAAATAAATATGGAAATCCCAAGGAAACTTACTGGGAATTAAGTCTCATTAATCAAAATGAGACTTACCTCCCAGTCCCTGAAAGCCCAAAACAGAATTCAAAAGCCTTAAAGAATAAATCACAAAAAATGAAAATTAAGATTTAGCTAATATATTAGTTCCTTATTAAAACCAACAATGCATGCACTCCTCCATAACATTATACTGTTTGTTCTCTGTGCAATTTTATATTACAAAACTACAAACTGCTGGCCTACAGTGAGTACAGTCCGTTTCACTTTGAAACTTAAAATAAAATGACCTTGCTGGATCCCAAATGGCACTTTATAAGATGTAGAGTTGCCAACTCCCCACCTTCCTTTGGGCAGGCTAACTCTTGTATATTTATAGCTACATGATAACCAGAAATTAGAAAGTGTGGTTGACACTGTAGCTGTAAACTTGGAGCACTGTCCCCGCTAAGTTTATTTTTATTTTTTTATGATATTGAAGGGCAAGAATGCTTTGGCATCAAGATATAGACATCTTTGGAGAGGAGGGATAGGAAAGATTTAGAATGCATGGCATGCTTCAAGATGGCAGATCACGGTTCTTCATCTTCATCCACACTGATACACTTATTTGTAACTGCATGTGATATTGACTTGGAAAAATTCAAAACCTGGTAGATGCTCTCAAAGAAATAAATTCTGTATTTGTTTTTCATACAAAATATTTATATTACGTATTAGTTTTACCTTAAGGGACAGAATTGCAAGAAGAAGACACCAATGAAAAATCTCTCACCCACAAATGGCCACATTTTTGTACAGTTTATATTATATTTTGGTAGTTTTCAAATTCATTTGTTCTTCTTACTGCCTGAAAAAAGTTACATTTAAAATTCAGGTGCAAAATAACAGGTACTGTGCATCAGGTTCCTTATGTGGAATTCCAGCCTCTTAAAACTTCCTAGAGATTTTACTCCTTGCAAAGATACAATTCTACAAAAGTTGACAATGTGAAAGCCTCTCATTTTCCATATTTTTCTTTTTTTCTTAGTAATTGAAAGTTTTGTTATATTCTTATCCACAATAACGCTAATGCATCATTAAATTACAATATCAATATATAAATTAGCATAAGTTATACAGCTAAATATTACTGCAGTACTCTGTGTAGTATCCAGTACAACTCACAGAAATTAGTTAAGTTGAGTTTTGCCTATTTGTTAGTTTTATGCTAATTGGTTCTACTCTCTAAAAATAATAAAAATGTTTCTGATTTTTTAATTTGTGCAATTAATTGAAACTCTAACTATAGCTTAACTGATATATATATAAGTATTGTTAATTTTGATTATTAAGAATGGTTAGTTCAGATATTTGAAGTCTGTCGCTTCTGAATGAGAAAATACTTTTAGGAACATATATTATAACTGATTTTCATGCCTAATTTTTCTTCCCAATTTTCAGTTTTCTGGTCAGTTTTATGGTTGATGCTCGAGGTGGTGCTATGCGGGGTTGCAGACACAATGGGCTTCGAATCATTATTCCACCCCGGAAATGCACTGCCCCAACTCGAGTTACCTGCCGGTTGGTCAAACGCCATAGACTTGCCACAATGCCTCCAATGGTGGAAGGAGATGGTCTGGCTAGTCGCCTTATTGAAGTTGGGCCTTCTGGTGCTCAATTTCTTGGGTAAGAAGTTTTTAATAATCCCAAATACTAATTAACATGAAAATATTATTTTACTGATTGAGGAGCCAACATGGGGTGGTTTGGCATTTTAACAGTAGAAGTGAAAAGACTGACTCTTATAATCTATGCAGTGCAAAGATAGGATCTGATAATTCAATCAGCTTGTGTGTCTAAAGCAACAAGTCAAGGTTTACTGCACTTCCTGCAAGCAGCTGGTGTAAGCCATGCTGGGCTGTAAAAAGAAAACTCATTTTGTTATAACAATCAGTTAATTACATATTCTCTTTTAAGGTTAAATAATAATAGCAGCAGAAATGTTGTGAATACAGATGTCATACCTGTTGAAAAATGCAACCACAAGCTAATGCTCCCTTTACAAGGAACTTGTGTTCTCTCAGTAGGTGTTTTGTCAGTAATTGAGACTTCCTGGGAAGCACAAACCAATGATTTTTCTGGGGCTGAAGCAATAGAACTAGTTCTCTGATTGCATTTTATCCTTTGTATTGCAATGCCCCAAAGAAAGATCAAAATTGCTGCAAATATTTCAGCAATTTTTTGTTTTTGTTTTTGTTTTTGCTGAAACTATCATTTTCAGTATTTTTATTTTATCAACATTTTCCCTTATCAATGGTGGCATCCAAAAGTGGATGATCAAAGGAAACCCCCTCTGCTTAGAATGAATGGCTTCTGCTGGAAACCAAAGGATGAAGTTGTAAAAGGAACATCTTTAATCCATTATGAAGCAGATGAGACATACCTAAGGCCGTAAACTGAGTTTTAAGTCAGAGCTGTTTTTTGAATAATATCTTGTTTTAGAGGATGGGGTTTGAGAGAGAATCTGATATGCATTATAGCTAGGGAAACCACCAATCTCCCACCACCCCATTATTTTGGTGTTGCTGTGTTTTAGCTATTCCTAAACTTTAATCCATGAGAAGATGCACATTTGTTACTAAGGGATTGCTCCTAGAATTTCCATGAAGCTCTATTCAAAACTAGATAAAGGTTTAAATAAAAAATGCATCAAACCCAAAATAAAGTGCCCATGTACATTTGTACTTTAAGTTCTTCTGATTATTCCAATATAATAACAACCAAGATTATTTTATTTTATCAGCCTTGTGAAGTTTGTCTATGAAAACTCTCATACGTTAAAGAGTTTTCATACAATTTCCCAAAGGCTACATCTTATGTCACTGGCACTTCCCTGAGTGGCGTCGTGGCAGTGAAATGATAGACACTGAACACTTCCTGCCAAACCAGACCTTATTGTCATATTGTCATGCATTTTTTCATGAGAGGCTCCCATTAATTTCAAGAAGTGATGCTAATGTATCATTGCACCTACTGAATAAACCATGAAGTTCTAAATTATGGGAGACTGATGTCATGAATTGCTGTGATCAGAGGGTCATTCCCAAACACAAAAAGGCAGAAAGGCGTTCAGTGTAAGCCTAATTCCACTTTGAGCAGACAGTGGCACTGGGGTTCTGTTAAAAAAAAAAAAAAAAAGGTACATAAAGTTTTTTTTTTTATTTCTTTCTTTCACTGCTGCTTTGGATGTACTCAGTAAACTTCACCTGCCTACAGCTCCTCCCCCACTTAATGAGGGAGAAAGTTTGGTCAGCCGAATCCTACAGCTGGGGCCTCCAGGGACCAAATTTCTTGGGTAGGAGAGACTTAAAACAAATTGATGGATGCCGGCCTTCCCATTCTTCTCCTTCTGCAATATTATTTTTTATGTCATTGTGCCCATGACATTGTCCTTTCTATGATTTTATAGTATGTATCCTAACCTTTAGTGGACCATTTCTAGCCCTTGTGATATGTGGTTTTTGTTTTGGTGATATGTTTGTACTTTTTCTTAAAGTTCCTTGACCTCACCTTTGATTTAGCATGAGAAAATATTAGTTATAGAATGTACCAGTCATTTCTGCTGTTATGTGCTTGATGTCTGTAGCAAAGCAACCTGGACTAAAATGAAAGGAATCTGTTGCTGCAATAATATTATTATTATTATTATTATTATTATTATTATTATTATTATTATTATTATTATT